AAAAAAAAAAAAAAAAAAAAGAAAAAACAGCCGACCGGTAATCGATGTCGATAAAGCGTTGATGAGTAAGAAGAAAAAGAGCGTCGAGTCACCTTACGTACACTCGCGGAAGGAACGAATTGCGAGCGCGACGAGTTTCACAATATCGTTGTACAGTCAAAGTGCCGCCGCGCGCCTCGCGACGTCGTCAGTCGGCAAGACGACAAAATCGGGACCTGCCAGACCGCCGCGTAATGGCGATACAATTCCATTCCGCCGGAATTGCCATTCATCGAGCTGACGAGCGACGCGTAAAGACGATCGTAAAGATGCGCGCGGACGATCGAAAATCACGATGAACATTCCTCGTTGGAAAGGAGCTTAATAAAACGATCGACTGTACGTAAGAAAGAATAGTGGAGATATAAAAGAGTAAGCGCGAGAGAGGGGGGGAGAGAGAGAGAGAGAGAGAGAGAGAGAGAGAGAGAGAGAGAGAGAGAGACGGATGGAGTTTGCAAGAGGGACGCGTATAGCAACGTTTTAACGAGCCGTGATTTTCGTGCTCGCCTTTTCGAGATCCTTACGTAACGCGACTTAATTGCGAAGGAGCTATCGCGCCGGTTAATACGAGCGTAGAGGAGACGAGAGACATTCGAGGGGATGCTTGGCGGCTTTAAACGCGAAGTAGCGGGCCCGACAGGCCGCGGGGGAGCGAGGCGGGCGACGTAGGCAGCGAAGAAGTGGGAGAGCCGTGGGATTGTGGGCGAAACGTTGCAAGGGGTGAAGAGAGTAATGCCGCGAGAGGGGAGAACGTGATCCCCCTCCATCGGTCTATCCGTCAGTCGCTCCGTAGCCGCTGTAGGAAGAGGTTCGCCTGCGTCGTTTTCATTCGCGCGCTGTAACACCCGTCAGGATTTCTCGCGAGAACTTCTCGTAAGTGACACATTGATCGTTACCGCGATCCTCGAGCGTGTTTACTCCGCATTTCCGCGGTGATATTCAATCTCAATCGCGGTTATACGCGCGCGCGCGCGCGCGCGATCCTTACGTTCGCGCTCGGGTAAACAACGGAGTGGTGTGCAGTGTGCCAGCGCGTGTGACGCGGGTATCAGTGTTGCTTGCGTCGCTCGCCACGACGCCGCGACCGCCTTCCGAGAAGACAAGCGGAGACGAAGAAGCGGGAGTGAAGTAAATAAGATCGAAAAAATAAACGTGTGCCGTCAGGGGGGAGTGAGGAAATTTTTCGGGTCAGTGTTTCTTCGAAAAAAAGCAGTGACGACGTAGGTAGTTTTCTCCTTCTTTACCGACCGAAAAAACAAAAAAAATAAAAAAAGTCGCATCCGTCGCATTTGTAAGAGCATAAAGGAAAGACGCGGACACGGCCGCCGCCGAGGAGATCGAGTTGTCCTCCTCGAGTCCTCGCTCGCCTCGTCCCGTCGGCTTGTGCGCGCGCTGTGCATGACTCCGAATGAACGCGACGACCAGCCTCACCTGACCCGGCGAGCCGCGAGAGGGAAGGAGAGAGGCCGCTACCGACCACTGCCCGCGCGAGTGTAAAGGGGAGGAGGAGGAGGGTGTGTGTAACACGTTTAAGCGGCCGGTCTCCTCCGCGCGCCCGATGAGACGGTAGTGACGGATGGATTGGTGGCGACCGCCGATGGATTTTCGGCGGGGAAACGGGGTGTTGCGAATCACGCTCGCGTACGCGTCGCACCGGAACGTAGCACGTCGTCGCGAGGCGACACGTCATCGCCGCCGATCGTCGTCCTCGTAGCGGCCCGAGTTATTTTTTTTCACGCGCCTCCCACGAAATCGACCTTTCTGTGCCCCCCCCCTCCTCGCCCACCTCCTCTCGTCGTTTACTCCTGTTAACGGTTGTTGCTGTTGTGCCGTTTGTTGTTGTTATTGTTCTTCTCCGACGGGGGAGCAGCTCAGTCGGAATAAGTGTACCGCGTGTGATATGACGCGTCACAATTGAAGAAGTTTCCGGAGTTTCGCGTCTCTCGCCGGAGTAAGGGCGCGAGATACGTCGTACAGATATTGCCACGCATCGAGCAGGAAGGATGTATCCCAGCGCCGGAATCAACGCAGCCGCCGTGGCCGCCGCCGCTGCCAGGCATCCGGTGAGTAGCGATTATCAGTAATAATAATAATAATAACAGCACTAACATTGTTTATTTGTATATCCTCTCCCGAACCTCCGCCCACCCCCCTTCCTCCGGTATAGGCGATGGTATTTTCGACGAGGGAGGGAGGGAGGGAGGGAGGGGGGATAAACTGCGTAAACCGCAATTGTGTAACCATTAAATAGCTATCGGATTTAATCGATGTAAATTCTCAGGCCGAATAAATTAGGCTGAATGCGCAGCGCTTCGGGATACGCTTCCAACGCCGGAATGCGGCCGATAACGGTGTCGACGACACGAGACGGTGATATATTTCGCGGTTGCGAACTAGCGATCGTATCTCTGCGCGTCGCTCCCATTTGCCGGGGTCGGATAGTCAGACGTCGCGTAGAGTATTTCGACTTCTCTCGCGCGCTCGTTCCGCGAAATGGCCGCGCTCTCCGGCCGTCGGGGGGCTCCTTTTTTTTCTCTCTTCAAGACCCGCCGCCGGTGCGTTCCGTCTATTTTACAGCACGTTGCATACTTAACGTAGCGCCGCGCCGCGTCGCGACG